AAAAAAAAAAAAAAAAAAAAAGGCCAAGAAGGTTGAGCAATAACCTCTCTCAGCTGTTAATCAATCTCCCAGGATTCAGAGAATGGTCTAAGACTTCATTAAATTTCTGCAGGGCACCAGATGCCCCTTCCAGTTGCAGCCAGTTGGTTTACTGCAAGCACTGATTTTCTACAGAGAATATTAGCAAGTTCATGCCAGGCTAATGCCTGTTCTCCAAGTACAATTAGCCTGTCCAGGTGTGCTTCTGATTGTTTGGCTAGTTTCCAAATTAGCTGTCTGTTCCTGGCCATTTCTGCAGAAACTATATTGGTTAACAAATGGTAGTTGTGCCTCATATGCCGAGGAGGTGGCTGGTTGGGCAAAGTCAGGCTTAGATGAAGAGGCAAGGGTTAACTTCATGAAGGTGCTCAGAGATACCCCTGCATCCTTGGAGAAGCTGCTAGAAGTGCTGTCTCTTTTGAAAACTTGCAAACAGGCTGCAAAAGAAAGTAAACATGTCATGAGAAAGCATCAAAATTAGCAATATGAAGTAGGTCAAGGAGAGGTCTGTGGCTTTTTAGCTAGACTCAGAAGACAGCATAAATTTCCCTGCTCTGGTGTCATAAGCGTAGATCTCTGTTTTTCGATCCAGGTCAAATTTTCATTGAAGGTAAAAAATTGAAAATAACAACAACAAAAACAGTTCTAAAAAAACAGTCAACAATTTTACTGATAACTCCTTTCCTTTTAGATTTTCTTCTGCAAGCTTCTTTATCAAATATCTACCTTATTATTCTGTCATCAGAAATAGACAAGATACTACACTGGGACCCTATTGAGAAAACTTATGCATTAGAACCTGCAATCAGCTCTTCTTCAAAGCCTAGATGCCTAAAGCATGACCTGGAGACAACACACAGGGCAATACTTCAGTTTTTATTTTAACATTACTGTGTCCCAGGAACATCATGTTTGCTATGGGCTACACTGTGTGCCCCCCAAATTCACTTGTTGAAGCTATAACCCTCAAAGTGACGGTATTTGGAGATGGGGCCTTTGGGAGGTGATTAGGTTTAGATGAGGTCATGAAGGTGGGATCATGATGGGATCAATGCCCTTACAGGAAAGGATTGGAGAGTTAGTTCTCTCTCCACCATGTAAATATACAGTAAGTAGGTGGCACTCTATAAGCTAGAAATAGGGTTTTCAACAGATATCTAGATTTTGGACTTCCCAGGCTCCAGAAATGTGAGAAATAGATGTCTTTAAGACATCCAGCCTATGGTATTTTGTTATGGCAGCCGGAGGGTACTAAGACAATGTTGAATGAAGCCTGGTTCTGTTTTCTGGTTACTTATTAAGAGGCAGAATGGGGATAGAGGATTAGGAAGAAGGATTTCAAAAATTAACAACAGATCTTGCTAACAAGGTTACTGCTTTAAGTAAAGAGTTTCAACGGTGTGGGGGAGGCAGGCAATGAGAGTGCTGGGTTTGTAAGAATCTGCCTCATCAGTGAAATCTGAGAACTGCAGCTGTGAGCTGAATAGGATCCTCTTAGCCTTTGGGCTCTGTATCTCTGAACCTGAAATAAAAAGCTGTTATTCTGAATAAGTGAATGTATGCAACTTGTTTTAAATCTCCAGGCCACACCCAAACCATAGCCTAATGAGAAATCACGGTGAAAACCCCAATCTCGTCCCAGAAACAATGTCTAACAGAGGCTCCTTGACTATGCAGTGAGTGGGATACAAGGCTCAGACTTTAGAGATTACTGTCTGGATCTTCTTTGTCCTTATCAAACTGATGGAGGCCATAAAATCCTAAATCCCTATTAGTAATTTCAAATCCAAGTGGCTAGGAGGTCATTAAAATGGAGTTCAGCTTAGAATTTCTGGGTGACCTCCCAAAACGTATACAGTTGCATGAATCTGCCTGAAGTCAGAGCATGAAGATTCACTAGGAAGCCCTGAGATTGCTCACCTGAAAATGAAGTCTGTCCCAAGGGGTCCTCAAAGTTCTCAGTCTTGGGAACCATGTTGCTTACATCCTGGATAATTTGTCCTTGCTTGTTAGGCTCCTCAGTTTGACCCTTCTGATCCATGTGCTATCTTGTGCTGAGATCCTGTGGGTCCTCCTGGACTGTTGTTTCTTTTCCACTGAAGGCATCAGATCTGGTGGGTTTGGGGTCTGGCATCTGATCTGAACAGTGTTATCCTTCACATTTTCAGGATCCAAAGAGAGGTGTATGCAGAGAAATGGATCTATAGTCTTATAAAAAGCCATATGTTGGGATTTACCACTAACTGCACTGGTATCAAGCTGTATTGAGAATTTGCATTTTGGCCTACACTGGTATTCAGGTGCATTTGCCTCATTTACTTTGCCTCAGCATGTGTCATCATGACACTGGATTGTTCAGGTGGTGCTCAATATACTAAACCCCCCAAGGATGGAAAGTGATGACAGCCACAACTCTCTAGGATTAGATACATTGGGGACAGGAAGGAAAATGAATAAATTACAGGAAAAATGAGACAGAAAAGGTACCTGCCATTTGGTAGCAGGCCTAATGACTCCTAGAAGGTGTCTGGTGGACTCCTTGCATTTTCTGGAGCCAACTGCCTCTGCTGACCCTGAATACAGGTGTTTGGTTGGGTGTCAAGCTATTAGACCACATGAAAATGGCAGGTGGCTCCCTAGAAAAGAAATTAGTGCTGCCCCATGTTTTCCCATGAACAGCTATCAAACTAGGCTACAAAAGGATGTATAGTTTTGGAGACTTTGATCAGCAGGAGAGGCTCTATGACTTCTGGGGTACCATGAGCTGAGAACTCAAAGGAGCAAATTCCTCCAGAAAAAAAATGGGTCGTATAAGAAGCAGCACTAAATTTTGGAGAAGGGCTAACCATCCCATCTGTTTAGTTAAGAGAGATGAACTAAGTGTACTGCCACCATAACTACATCCTTAAGTAACCAGAAGTCAGGGACAGGGAACAGGGATAGAGAACACAGAACTGTTGATATGATTCTAGTCTCTATTTTGAATTTGGGCAAGAAAGCTATGTTAGAAAATTCCACATCTATGAAATAAGCTAAAATCTTTAAAACTTCAAAGGGAGGTAGCTTTCTTCACTGTGTAATTGCTCCTTCTGTCTGAGACCAGACTATCTGGGACCCTCTGCTAAATTAAAGACCTTACAAATGTTATACACAGCCCCCTGACTTCGCAGGGTAGTTTTTGTTCTATCTTCTTGGAGGAGATTCCTTGGTGTAGTACTATGGGACCAGAGATATGGTAGTCGTAAGGAGACCTCTCACAGCTTTGCAGTGAATGTGGAGATTTCTTCTCAGTCCGCTTCCCAGAACTGGGTTTTTTTTAGTTCATTGGTGGAGTTACTATCTAAGCTATTAGGGAACTGGACCATATAGTTTTAACTACGTCTTTCAGTTTCATGAGTTACCAATTAAGTCAGATTGGTCTGGGAGGCTTTAGACAGGGGTGGGGAACCTTTTTTCTGCCAAGGGCCATTTGGATATTTATAACATCATTTGTGGGCCATACAAAATTATCAACTTAAAAATTAGCTATGAAAAAAGCTCCTAAATTCATTGAACTTCAAATCCCACTTGCAGTTGCCTTGGCAGAGTGAGACCAAATGATTTCACAGGCCAGACGTTCCCCACCCGGGCTTTAGAAGCTTAGGATGCCTTTCAAAGATGGGTGAGGATCTGGAAATGAGGATCAGGTTGGGAGCATCAGGTATTTGTGCAGAGTAACACTTCCTTACCCAGCCCATAGCACTTCCTCCATGACTGGCCCATGTGAAATAGTTTGCTGACTTGACAGGTGAGGAAAAGAACTTAGAATATAATACTGCTCTAATCTTTTCAGTATATAATAACTATGGTGATCTGCTAGTGAAGCAGCTCAGGAGATGGAACATTTGTGACTTAGGTTTTTCAACTGCACAGTCCCTTTCTCCCCTTGCTCACCCAAATTCTGAGGTTTGGACAAATGCTGAACCTGTACCATGCTCAGGCTGCATGCTCAACTGTATGTTGGGTAACAGTGATAGAAAGAGCATGGGTGCTTGATAGAGTCCCCAGAAGCGGGTGAAGATTCTGGTTACTAGCTGTTGCTAGTAAAGATTCTGGTTACTAGCTGTGACTTTGAGCAAGTGACTTTTTAGACTTCAATTTCCTTACCTGAAAATTTGGGATAATATGATATGACTTTTAGATGAAGACTACTTAAAAGGAAATAACATTTGTAAAACATCTAGGAAAGCATCTGATACACAGGCAATCTATATTGTTGGTATTCATATTACTTTTATAGTAATATTAGTAGATATGAAAAAGATTACAGTACTTCTCTAACAAAGTTTATTTTTAAAACATACATAGTTTTAATTAGCCTTTGTGGAAATTTATTTCATTCAACCCAAATAAATATAGAAATAAATAATCCTCTGTAGAAAATACTTGTATCTCACCTTAGTTGCTTCATTGATGATTTGGAACTTGGTACTATCTTTGCCTGTTGTGACTGAGTCTAGGAATGCCCGATAGGTGGACTTCTTGGAGAGCTGCTGTTTCTGACGCCTACAGATGTGAAGTATACAGATGCCCAAGAATTATTTGTGACTGTCAGCATCCAATAGACTATATTACCAAGGGGAAGTCATTAAAATTTACTACGATAGTAAGTGAATTGGGCACAGACAATATTAGTACTCCAATAAAGTACTAACAGGAGTACCTTGTTATTAGAGTGCTAATAAAATTAGTAGTAATAAGAAAAATACTAATAAAATTTTTCAACATAGCACTGCTCAAAGATGGTGTTTTGTCTGCTTTATTAAGAAGGTGGGGCAGTTTTCATAGATGACTTTTATTAGCTTATTAATTTCACTCTTTCCATGAAATGTACACTTTAATAGAAAATTAATAATTTCTAGTGGAAATCCAGTATGATCTAGTGGTTTAACAAGGTAACCAGGAGTTCACTACAGAATTCTAAGGTACTTGTTTGAATGAAAATGATACAATTTTCTTCCTTTAGAGCAGTGTGAATAAACTAGAAAGTTGTAATATATGATACAATTTTTGGTGATTTCAATTTCATGATCACATAAAGCTCTCTGGAAACAGGCAATTTTATATAGTGGTGATGGAAGTACAAAATGGTACAGTCCCTGAGGAGGGATATCTTGTAATAAATAAAATTTCAAATACATTTACTCTTTGACCCAATGATCCCCTCCAGGAAATTCATTTTATAAATATATTTGCATGTGTAGGAAATGACGTATGTATAGTTTTTCACTGTGACAGAGATATTATAGTGAACAACCCCAAAGCCTAGCAATATGAGAAAAACAGAATAAATTATAATACATCTACCCAAGGGAATACTATACAGCTGTAAAAAGAGAATACTCTCCATATACTCATGCAGAACTCTTCAGAATAAACCATGAAGCAGGAAAAAAAAAAGAGGTACACAATAGTGGATATAGCAAACTACTTGGTTTAAGAAGGGTAATATAAGAATATATGCAGTCACAAAAAAATACGGGAAGGGTAAATACGAAATTAATAAGACCAGATGTGGAATTGGGTGGAAGGGAATAGGAATGAAAATAATACCTTTCAATGTACATATTTTCATATTATTTGATTTTTGAACCACATAAACATATTATATATTCAAAGACATACAATTTTAATATCAGTTTAAAAATGCTTTGACTTTTAGCCCGGCCGGCACGGCTCAGCTGTTGAGCATCGATCCATGATCCAGGAGATCCCAGCTCGATTCCCCATCAGGGCACATGCCTGGGTTGCAGGCTCCATCCCCAACGGGCGTGTAGAAGGCAGCCGATTAATGGCTCTCTTTCATCACTGATGTTTCTATCTCTATCTCTCTCTCCCTCTCCCTTCTTCACTCTGAGATCAATAAAAAAAAATTTTTTTTAAATGCTTTGACTTTAAAAATAAAAATAAACTACCTGTTCGCTGAAAAATTTAAGTACTACAGTAGTAAGTATATAAGGTTAAAGGCAAATGTCTGATAAATTCCTCAATCACTAAATTTCCTAATTGGCCTTTTCCTTAGAAAGCCTATCAGTTCTCAAAAATTTATTGAACACCAATCTTGAAATATTGTCAGGAATGTTTTGATCTAAGTAATACATTTCCTCTCCTTACCTGTAGAAAGCAATATTGCTGCAGTCTTTGAAAATGTTTTTATCCACAGCTTCATCTTCAACACTAAATAAACAGACATTTTAAGAAAGTTACATAGAGTTTGTGAATCCAATTTTTGCACCTTCTCTAACTACAGTATGAACATGGGAAGTAAACCTCTGCAATGCAAAATTGTGTCATGGCCATAGCACAATAACATGTGCTGCAGAACAGGATCCTTTTTTAAATCATCCAAGGTAAAGAATAAAAGATGAGGTTCTAGGATTACTCTGAAAGCAATAGAAAAAGAGCACTGTCACTTATGAGAAAGGGTTCTTTTAAAGTAATGAGTGAAAAATGGTGATGGAAGGAGACTTAGCTGGGGTGGTGAACACATAATACAATATACAGTTGATGTATTATAGAATTGTATACCTGAGATCTATATAATTTTATTAACCAATGTCACCCCAATAAATTCAATTCAAAAAATAAGTAAACTAAAATAATGAGGAAGGCTATGACTACAACAATAAAATCTGAAGGAGCAAAAACAAACAAAAAACCCAGACGTGTAGCGTATTATGCTAAGCAAAATAAGCCAATAAGAGAAAGACAAGTATCACATGATCTTACTTATATGTGGAATCTAATGAACAAAATAAACTAATGAACAAATTAGATCCAGAGACATAGAAGCATGGAACAGACTGATGAATCTCAGAGGGAAGAGCTGGGGTGGGTGGGTGGATGGGGAGAGATTAACCTAAGAACGTATATGCATATATGCATAACCCATGGACACAAATAATAGTGTGGTGAAGGCCTGGGGGCGGGGGCAGGTGCAGGATGGAGGGGATCAATGGGGAAAAAGAGGGGACATCTGTAATACTTTCAACAATAAAGATCAATTTAAAAAAACACCAAATCAAACAAAAAACAACCCATCCATTTATTCAACAAAATATTTTCAGAATATTCTTACTGAGTGCTAGGCTCTGAGGAAGATATGAAGGACTATGTCCATGATGTCTGTGAGAGCCTAACCAACCATCACAAATCAACCTGACAAATGCTACAATAGAGATATGTGCAAGGTGCTAGAATAAGAATGAAAACAGGTATAGAAGAAAAATCTTTAGCTTCTTAAGACGATGCCGACAATCTCAGTGTCAGTGTTTTTTAAGACCAAATTTCCAGAAAAGCTATTTCTGGAATAGAACATGAACAAGATGTATGTATATTGCTAATTGAGATTATGTGTTTAACATATGCCCATTAAAACAACTACTGGGTAGAAGAGGGGAAAAACACTGGCTTTCATGTAGAGGTGTGGCTGAATAGAGCTGTAGTAAGCATGTCCATGATTATAGCTATGACTGAACACCAATTTCAAAATATAAACACAAGTCCAAACATACACTTGGCCATACTAAAAAATGGTTTATCATGGAAGTAATCAAATCCTTCACTGACTCAGTCTTTGTTACTGTTTTTTTTAAATCAAGTGTGCAAAGATTAAGAAATTTGTAGTCTCCTCTTTCCAGTTTTAAAGAATGAGCTCTGGAATGATAGAAGAGGTGGGTATAGACGAATTTGGTAAGCAATATGCTTGAAATTCATGTGTTAGAGTTCTGATCACAACTCTTCCAGTTTTGTTAACCATCCTGAAAGTATTTTATGAAGGTCTAGCTATTGATATCAACTAATCTCTGGGAAACTGAGAAAAAAAACCAAAACACCCGATAAAGATTAAATGCACAAATATAATGCATGCAAATAAGTGCAATCAAACAATAAAACCTTCAAAGCCAAAATGTTGCTTGCAGGTACTATCCCCTGCCTGGAGTCAGTCCCTGCAGGATCACTGGGTTTTTACCTGATCTCCTTTTTTTCGGATACTTCCATGGCTTCCAAGTCACTTCACTGGCTCCCAGCTTTCAGTCCAAGACCCTGGGAGATCTTTTCAAAACGAGGATAACCCTCTTTCTAAATCACCACCAGCACTTCACCATCGACAAATTTCTGGGAAACGGGAGTCCCCTCCGTGTCCTTAAGGAGTGGCAATTCGATTCTTCCTCCTGGAATTCCCAGGCCCAAACCAGTGTCTCTACAGGGACTTATTTTATTTGGCAAATTTTTCTTGGTAATGAGTGGCTGTTGAGAAACTGCCTTCGTTAGGAACCGAAACTGTCTTTGCAGCAGAGGGGGCGTGTACGCAGTTGTAAAGGATGAAAATTCAAGAGCTTGAGAACTAGGAAGTACCTAGATGGGCCTGTCAGGTTGGGGCGAAGCTTCTGCAGGTCTGTGTCAGCGACAGTCACGCCATATGTATTGAAAACGGACCCACTTTCTCCCCGTTTTAAATTTTGAGTGGGAAGTGCCGGCCAGGTCTTTGCTGGCGCTTTCTGTTCTCCACCCAAACTCCACAGTAGCGTCATACTTTTCAGGGTTAAAACAGGCTTTTTAAAGAGGTTATTTATTACACGATCCAGGAATCGCGTATACTGCACCACCGACAAATTCCAGTCTTTGCTTAATTACCTCCAGACACCGAGAACTCACTACCAGACACCAAACAGGCAGCCAGACTACTACGGCTTTCCCAGACTTCTGGCCCCGAAGTCTGACTTTGACTTCGGCGGGATAAGGGGCTGGCGCGAACAGTTGGAGGAGGGAGCCAAACGCTACACGGGGTGTTTGCCTGGTCCCCAAACCCGCTAGGGGCTGGGAGAGAGAAGAGCCGACGGAGGCGGAGTGTCTTTTGGAAATCAGCCTAACTCGCCAAGGTGACCAGGTTACGGACAGGACGGCGCCTGCGCAGTGTTCCCAAAGCCCTGCACGGAGCCGTGACGACCGCAGGAGGGAGGGGCCGCTGAGTCGCAAAACAAACAAGCATCGCGAGGTTGTGAGGACCCGGATGATCCCCCCCCCCTTCCCCAGAGCAGAGCCGGAAGAGGGCGGGACGAGCCGGAAGAAGGTGAAATGCTTTCGGTAGACGCTCCGAGGCTGTGAAGATGGCGGCGGCTGCGTGGCTTCAGGTGGTGCCTGTCATTCTTCTTCTGGGGGTTCAGCCGTCCCCATTGTCGCTTTTGGGCGTAGGGCCAGTACCCGTCGCTGCAGCCGACCGGTCCAAGTGGCACATTCCGATACCGTCGGTGAGTGTTCTGAAGCAACTGGGTCCCGGGGAACAAGGGGTGGGGCTACGGCGGCCCAAGGGGTCCATGAAGGTTCCGCCAAAGTCGGCTTCCAAAGGGGTGGGGTCGCCGGGAGTGTCCCCGTCGTTGGTTAACTGGGATCCACGTCCGTCCAGCGGAAAGCCGGGAATTTCTGTCGGTAGAGTAGCGGGAATGTCGGGGCCACATCAGGCGTGGGGAGGAGTGGTGGAACGGCTTCCTGGCAGTCAGAGAACTTCCAGTGCCTGAGTTGAGACAGGTAAACTTGAGGCATAGGTAGAGAGAGTTTTCTCTTCCAGTGGAAGTTTACAGGACTCAGTGACCCCGGGTGGGATAAGAGGGGTATGTAGATAGGCGTCTGTCTTTTTCCCCTCTGCACTTTTTTTGTTGATGGAGAGTTCTCCTTACGAAGTTGTATGATTTCGTTTGAACTTGAAGCGGTTATTCCAAGCTTTGCCGTGTGATTAGGAAACCTAGGCATTAAAAAAAAAAAAATTCTAATACAAGAATGGCTAACATGGAAGAAATAGTATTATAAAATTTGATATGGGAAGGCCAGTCTTTCTTTTGGACAGTTACCAAACAGATTTACCTTTTCTGTCCCCTGCCCCCTTTTGAAACCTCATTTGAGTAAGAGCTATGGTCCTGTGATCAGGCAAAAATCTGATGCCCGCAGGAAATGCGGAAAAGTATTAGTACTATTAAATCCACGGTGGCCTTTTTGTTTCATTCTGCTCTGCCCCCTGGTTGTAATGTCCAAAAACTTATTCGAGCTTTGATATGGCAAGCATTATAGCTTTTGTTCATTTGTTGAAGATATTTAGGTTCTCAGTTTTAGGTATTCACGTGTTACTAAAATGAGTTAAATCTGGCCATCTTCTCATAGGATAGTTTTTTTGAGGAAATTATTGGTTGTTCTGGCCAGTGATGAGTGAGTAAAGGGGATGGGCTGATTAAGGAGTACCTCCTGTGATGATTTAAGTTAAGTCTGGACTTCTAGAGTCCTTGCCCCATGAGCCTGTGGGGGAAAAAATCGTATCTATACCAAGCTTCAAAATCTTGCAGTTTGAATATGGTGGAATTTTACCCAAAGGGAGGCTGTTGATGCCATTTTTTGTTAAGAAAACTAACTTGAATGTTTTATAAATGTAGGTTTTTGTACTATTTATATTTTGCCTTGGGAATTGAAGTGATCACATGCTAATTACCTTTCTCCCCTTTATCTTTGCAGGGAAAAAATTATTTTAGTTTTGGAAAGATCCTCTTCAAAAATACCACTATCTTCCTGAAATGTGAGTTTTTGCATTTCATGAAGTTTTTGTTTGAGTTTTTGAGTGATCTTTAAACTTTTAAATTACCTATTTTCTGCCACTTACGACTTACTTTCAACGTAAGTTCTGAAATGTAATAGTCCACTATCTAGGTAATGAAGTATAACTAAGGTCCTTCCACTGAATAATCTCCAGAATACTTACTTGTGTGAACTTTATTTTCTTCTCCTGTTTTTCTGGTGTTTACTGTATACAGTTGGCCCTTGAAAAACGAGGGGGTCATGGGCTCCAAATCCCCTCACAGTCAAAAATCCATGTATAACTTTTGACTCCCCCAAAACTTAAGTAGTTCTTCAGAATCTGTAGGGGATAGACTGGTTCCAGGATCCCCCCACAGATACTAAAATCAGAGGATGCTCAAGTTCCCTGTATAAAATGGTATAGATCAATGCATGCAATCGGCCCTCTGCATCCACAGACTCCTAACTGCTGATGAAAATAGTACAGGTATTTATTGAAAAAAGATCCATGTATAAGTGGACCCATGGAGTTCAAACCATGTTGCTCAAGAGTCAACTGTATAGTTAGACAAATTGTGTTGGTTGATTGCGGGCATGCTGTTTTAATCTGTTCTTGAGATACAGAGATACCACCGATTTTGCTTTTGAGTGCCTGTTAGATGTTTACTGAACACATGATGTAAGCTTGTCAGATCATTGGCTATGAATGAATATGTTCAGTAAATCTTTTGTTTGCCAAAGGAGTATTTTACCACTTGGATCTTTGCAAGAGGAAACTCAGAGATATTCTTTATCAGGAAATAGGGGTTATGTAGAACAAAACCAGTCTGTCCAGTTGAAAAACCACTGTCTCTCAATCCAAAATATCCCATTGTGCATTAAAGAAAAGCTTCCTTTTATTTCTGAAACTGGCTTTATTTTAGAGAACATGGCCAGCTCTATTTCAAGGTCAGGGATAAAAATCTAAGTCATCCATGTGGGCTTCTATGCATATCTCTCTCCATGAAAGTGCAAAGTTGGAAGTTATAGTTTGATGATTTTATTCTTTTAATCATTTAGTAAGTAGTTATTAAAAACTTACTATGTGCCAGGCACTGTTTGAGACAGCAGGGAGTGATAGAAAAGGACCCTTCTCTTGTTGAGTTTACTGGGGGTGAAGGAGACAGGTAGAATTTCTGTGAAGAATTCACCATGTCCAGGATCATATAATCTCCTGATTAATGACTTAAATTTGATTTAAATCAAATCTACTCTGACACACTTGTCTTTCTTATGAGGTTGGCTTAGTAGGTAAGAATAGCTTTTAGGGGTAGCAGTGTTTGTCTTTTGTCTCATGGCCTGTCTGCTCTTCTCTTTTATTACATACAGTCTTTTCTCACCTGTATTTTGATTTAATGGTGTTTTGCCCAGTCACACAAACTACATATTTTATATTTTGAAGTGTCTACATTTCTTTGTTTTTGGAGGATTTGCTACTCCTTAAAATTTGCATTATCTTTCATTTTACTTCTCTGCTTTCTCATATTTACCTTGTCTCTGATCTTATACTTCTGTGGGTATGTTATATAGCTTTCCTTGAAATTGGCAGAACCATTTTTATTACCTCTTTTTTTTATTAAAGATATATTTTTTATTTTTTTTTAATTTAAATATATCTTTATTGATTTCAGCGAGAGGAAAGGAGAGGGAGAGAGACAGATAGAAACATCAATGATGAGAGAGTCACTGATCGGCCACCTCCTGCACGCCCCTGACTGGGGATCAAGCCCGCAACCCTGGGCATGTGCCCTGGCTGGGAATCGAACCCCGATTGCCTGGATCCTAGTCAATGCTTAACCGCTGAGCCATGCCTGGCCAGGCCATTTTTATTACCTCTTAAAGCCATCCATTCAAAGTTCTAACTGGTGCCTTTTAACATAAATAGTATTTTTGTAGCCAAGTTTCCCTCCAAATCTCCTGCTTAGGGGCACTTCTTACTGACTTTTATTTAATTAATCCTGTCTCTATAAGGTTTTTCTGAGCAGTTCATAGCAAGGTGGCAATATCCTTTTTATCATTCACATAAATTCTGTTCAGCACATCAGATTTTTGTGTTTTAATTGAGGCTTGTCAAAATGTGTTATTTAAACATTAGTTTGAGAAAACAACTTAAAGAAAAGGGAAAGGTTATAACTTTAGACGTGCTGCTTTTGTTAAGATCCAAAAGTGGGTTCCTAGATGCAGTCATGTTTGCATAAAGTTGGTATCTCTAGTATATTTACTCTTCTACAGCAAGAATCAAAGATAGAAGGTAATACTGACTTCCCCCAGTGAGACAGCCAATCAGTCATATAGTCAGTTTCAAACTTCCAAATCTTCAGACTAATGCCTTGGTCCACTAGAATATTGTGTTCCAGACTATGTTTAATAAGTTATCTGAGGCTTTTATAATTGTGTAGGTTCCTTGGGCCTTTCTTAAGGTGGGCTTTGAAAAGAATCTAATACTCTTTTATTTTTGCTTATTCTTTTTCTCCTTTGCCCAGCCAGGTTTGCTTTTTACTCATAGTTCTTTCTGTCCAATCTTGATATCTTCCAAGATTTAAGCCATGATTTTTCCCCTCAGTGGAACTACTTTGAATATTGCCTTGTGATATCTCTAATGTTGTTATCCCTCATCTCTCCAACTAGAATGTAGCCTTTTTAAGGGTTTTAGTAATTGGTTTCCTCCTATTTCCATCTTGGGCTTAACACAGTGCCTTGTAGCATTTGTATTTAAGTGCTCTGCTCAATAAATATTTGAATGATAATAGAAGACCTGTTTTAACTTAGGACTGACTGCTTTATTGTTTCTAGGCTTTTTCCAACAGAGAACAAGAAATCAAGGTTTTAAAGCATAAAAATAGATACAATTTCAAAGGTTAAAAACTGTTTAACTGCCTTTTTTTTTTTTCGTGGATAACAATGCTTAATTTTTTCTGAAGCATATCCAGTTCTTTTTGCATGTATTACTTCATGACCTGTTTGGAGAAGGGATGGTCTATAAGTATCTCATGTTAGCAGGAAATAAATGAGATGTGGGGTTTGGGAATCATCTTTTATTCACAAAGATTCTTATTTTATAGTTGATGGAGAACCTTGTGATGCATCTTTGAATATAACCTGGTATCTGAAAAGTGCTGATTGTTACAATGAAATCTACAACTTCAAGGTAGGAACATAAAATTATAGACTTTTCTTGAACTTGAAAGATCTTCAGGTTCCAAGCCTAGAGAGGAAAAAGTGTCATGTAGCGGTGGAGGAGAAAAACTGAAACTAGATCCATGCTTCCCAATTTGCAGAATTGCCAGCAATTCTCAGACTTTCTGGTCTCAGAACTCTGTTACATTCTTAAGTGTTATGTAGACTCCAGAAAGCCTTTGTTCATGTAGGTTACCATATTAGAAATTAAAACTGAGAAAATAGAGAAATAATTATTCATTTTAAAATAACAATAATAAACTCACT